TATAGAAGAATCATCATGGTTTTCTGTATTTTCATTGCATAATTTTTCTTCTTTTCTTTTAGAAACCTGTAATTCATATCATTTCAACACATTTGAATTATATAAGGCTTATTATAAAATATAAAACTTAACTAACCAGTTCAGTTGCATACTGTTTTGCTGTAAATGCAAGGAGTAATGCTGTTAACAAATCAGTGAAGACAAATAAGCAAAATAAAACCCATTGTGGTAAATATTGTTGAATGAAATTAAAAACATATAAACCAATAGGTGTTTCATGAAATAAATCTCCTGTATAGGGATCAATGCCAAAGTTGTACAAATATACTCCTTCAGTCACTAAAATTAAATTAAATGAATAATAAAATATTATATTTAATGTTTTCACTATAATTACTATTATTATGTACGATAGTAATATTAATAGTATTAAACATGTATAAATATCTATCAATTAGTTATTATCATTAACAAATTGAAATTTATCTAACCTCTTTTCCACGAATTTAATGCAGTAGAAACTTCCACACGGTCGGTAATAATTTTTTGATATCCGGAATTCATCAATAAAAATCTAATAGTACCAGCTAATACAAAATTTGATAACCATTGTTTCGTCATTTTTTAATCAACTACAAATCATTCATGTATTCGTTGTACAGTCTGTTTACGATATACAACCAGTATTTAAACAGACATTATATATTTACTATGTTAATTTTAAGCAATAGGTTTTATCTTTAAAGTATTTCAGAATATAATTTTCAACTGTAACATCTTTTTCCCTTTGATATTAAACTGATTAAAGATTTCATTCTCAACAAACCAAACTATGGCATATGAGCGGCTTTTCTACTTCCAATAGAATAATTTTATCTATCATAATTTACAGTAAAGCAGGTGTTAATATTTATTTAAATAAATTTATTTGAAATAATGAATTACTGGCTTTCATGTGAAATATTTTTTAATACATTGTTTTTATTAAAAAAATTATTACTCAGATGTAGCAAAATATGACTTCTTTCGTTCCATTATTATACTTCTAACAAACTGTAAATAATCTAAGTTGTATGTATTGCGTAGTAAATATATTTTGTGTTTGTACTTCCTTATAAATTAAGAAATAAAAAATGATCGAATTCTATATACATTTTACTAGAGTTGATATTATTTTAATAATGCAAATAACAAAAAATGTGGAACGCTTCACGATTTTGCGTGTCATCCTTGCGCAGGGGCCATGCTAATCTTCTCTGTATCGTTCCAATTTTAGTATATGTACTGCCGAAGCAAGTACACAAGATAATTTTAAATTCTTGTATATATAGGAACCAACTCTCTCTTGACAACTAGTGAGAGAAGACTATTTATGTAAGCCATCTAGTGGCACAATAATAAATATGAAATGTAACACAAGATACGTATTAAGTGCAAAAGACAATATTACTTTCCATAATAAGTTTTTTTAGAAGAATTTTAAATTAAACTCCTAAAATTTGCTTTTTGCATTAAAAGTTGTTAAGAAAATAACGAAGTATTATATTTACAGAAAAAAATTGATAAAGTTATAAATTTTAGGTTAGTATTCATGTTTTGAATTGTATGAAGGTATGATAAAAATGTATTACTTGATAACATATTCTTATAATTACTTAATAACATAATCTGTATCTGTAATCTAATAATCGTAATAATTTATCATTACTTAATAACATAATATTATAAGTTAGTACAAGTTGTAATTTAATAGTTATAGAAAAAAGGTAAATTTTAACAATATTATTTATTTCATATTGTGCATTTTAGCAAAAATGCGATTGACTGGTTGGCGATATGCAGCATTTATAGGAGTATTTGTAGGATATATAGGAACATTTTCTTATTTTACAATGATAAGTCCTATGATTGATCCAGAACCATATAGTATACATAAACTACATTAATCGCCAAATAATTTTAAAAGTGTTTTCTGATTGTTTATCTAATCTATTAATTTCAGAACGAATTCATGAAGTAACAGAGAAATACCAAAAACGAAAAGTATGAATATGAGCATTTTCAAAATACAGATCAACATGTAAATATCAAAAACTAGTATCATTTTATCAAAAAACAAGTCAAGAAAGACATTTATTGTATAAAATCAATTTTTATTATGTATTATAGTTTGACATATGCCACTAAAATATTGGTGCATATAAAATAGATTAAAGAACATTTAGTACATCATGTTAAAAAATCAGTAAATGTAGTGACTTGTACTCTTTTTACAATTATTAATATCATTATGTTACTGTACAGACGTCTGCTGCAAGAAGTTTCTTATTTAAAATGACTAGAAACTCTCCTACAGGCATAGCATTTTATAAACATAATATACAATTTGTGTTAAAAATCGTCATGATCACAAACATCTAGGAAGACATCAAATACCTCACGATTGCAATTTCCATCGGCAGTGAAAACATATTTATGAAATGTTCCATCCATACAAATTGCTAGAAATAATATATAGTGTAAAATTAAAATAAATAAAATATTTATACAAATTTTATTATTATTATACTATACTGTTAAATACATTTGTTGTATAGAACATACCTATAACAGAACTTCTTGTACCAAATGCACACACACAAGCACATTCTGGTGGTACTGTAAAAGTAGCTAATGCCCATTGGCTTTCGACATAATTTCCCCAAAACCCCATTTTTGAGAAACTGTAAATAAATTAATCATTAATATTATTCAGTGAAATTTATCAAGTAAAATTTATACTATATTTACATACGTCGATCTGCGATTTAATTGCGTATCTTTCAACGCAAATATGTGTACTGTTCCTTTGTCACTGGAAGCACATAGAAATTCTGAATCTCTACTAAATGTAATACTGAAACATATATTACACAATACGTTTAAACGTAAATCGCAATGTTATAAATGTTATTTGTTTTTAGTGTATAAAAATTACATTTACCAATAAAGTGTTGCAGAGTCAGCACCTCTTCTTAATTCCACTAACAAGTGTCTACGTATACTGTCCCATACTCTAACTAAAGTACCTTGTGTGGAAGCTGTTGCTATCATAGTACCACTATTGTTAACTGCGAGACAGGCCAATGCACCCTAGCAGTATTATTTATAAATATAAAGAAATGCTAAGAAAACAATATGTTAACATAAAGATATAATTTCTATTTAGAAATCTTTATACAAAATATACATACTTGATGCGCTGCAAGAGTTGCAGGAGCACTAGAACTTCCAGCTTCTGTAGCACTAAGATCAATTAAATGTACACTGCCTTGCTTGTGACCAGGAAAAGCAAGAAGCTGTTTTTGTGCAGTGGCTAAAGTAGCAACTTCAATTAATCCTTTTGGATTATCTCTGGTTTCTAAAGTCAATAATCTTCGTGTTGGCATAGGAAATGAGAAGACATGTATTTCACGTTGAAGTGCCACTATCATTCTGTTTTGTAAAATTAGTCCTAAATGCAACATTTATATTGACTAAAAATAAGAGTTAGTTATACTGGCAAACTTACTTATCTCTACGTAATCGTACAGCCTTAATAGGACTGGTAAAAGTCACTTCCATTACAAATTTCTTAGATAAATCATCATAAATAAGTACTGTATTTTCTGCAAACTTTGGTCTTGTACCACCACCTACTATGGCAATAATATTTGTCCTCCAAAGCATTTCTGCAATAGCTATACTTCCCATTATATTATTTTCCAAATGTGCTTCTTCAACTAATGGTTCTACATTATATACTCTAAGACCAGATTCCATGCAACACGTAAAACATCCTAAAAAACAGAAACAAATTACAAATACAAAATATTAAATAAATACATTCTTTTAAAAGTGATACAAAACTCTTATTACTATTAATAACATAAATTTTGAATAATTAAATATATACATTAGCATATAATAACATTGTTACAAATGAAACAGATTTGTTTCCAGACTCTCTTATTTTTCATTCTTTTGTAACAATATTGTATTTGTTTCTTGCAAAATAAAGTATACCTTCTTAACCTTTTTAGTTTCGAGACAATGTGAAAAGAATATTATATTTTATAATATCAAAAACAGATTCATCGTAATTCTTAAAAGTTTAAGTGATTAAAACTATAAATAATAATTACCTTGATCTTGATTAAATCGTAAACTAAGAATATTTCTTTCTCCAGCCATTTGGTGTTACATTAAATCAAACAAATAAATGTTTCTTTTTTTTATATATAATTTTTTTTAACAACTATACTACGTGTTTTTGTTTACATTCTTCTTTCACAATCAGCTGTGGCACAATGTTTAGTACAGTATTTCATTCTTTGTGAGATACGATAACAAGAATAAGGCTGATTTTCACTCTTCGAATGAATTAGTCTTATTTATAAATACTGAAAGCATTTGTATGCAAATGATGGGAAACGTAATCATTCCTATCGTCAGGTCATATTTAATAAATGGAAAAATACGAAATACAAAAGTGCAAATAAATTTGAAATTTTTTGGAACATTTAT